CTGTGCTGCTTCACGCCTATATAATCTTGGGCAAATAAATCCCTTAAACATAATTTTGTTACATTTAAAATGGGAATAATGATAGAACCAATTTTCTAGAATTACTGCAAGTTATAAATGAGAAAATTAATGCATGCCACTTGGAATGTAGCAAACAATAAATAATAGCTCTTACGATAGATAGTTTTAAATTATTTTATAGTTGTGTACCTGGTGAGAGTCCTCACACTGTCCCTTCCCGAGTGAGGCTTCTGGGAAGGTTCTGCGCTATGCCATCGAGCTGAACATAAAACAATTTCTGATCTACTGTTCCTCTGTGTCTGATTCTCGCTCACTAATATGATGTTATCTTGAAAAATTATTATAATTTCCCCAAACTTCAGTTCTGCCAGTGATGGAAAGGCCAATGCATAAAGGAACTGATAGATGGTTTGACATGCTGCTGTCACCAAGATGACATACTGATGGAATGTTTTGAGTTACCAACATTGAAGGCATCATTGAAATTATTGTGCATTACTAATACTGCTTAATGCACCGGCGTCCCTGGAGATTCTTATAAAGCCATATTTCTTAAGAAAAGTGACTTCTGTCATTTTCCCTGTCAGATCTTTTAAATATTTAGTCATTATGACTAAAGATAACACTCAAACTATTTAATAATTGGTGATAGGGCATATACACTATCGATCAGAGAGCCCTGCTAGCCCATCAGAAGACGCCCTGGGGTAGCATTCAATAAGACCATCACACCAGGATGATGTCTAGTGAAATCACACTGGGCAAGCATCATCTGATGGTTATAGTTCCTTTGTGGTCCATCCAGGCATTTTGTACCAGTTACATACTCTCAGGAACTCAAAGTTATTCGGTTAGGTTTGGCCTTTGAGGGACGAAGAAGTCCACCTGCTCAATAATTGCTCTTCTGACATTTTCGCATTTGCTCTCACCTCTGAGAGTGATAGCCTGCATGGAAGTACTTTCACTAGCACATAGGTTAAGAGTTAAAAGCAGTGCAGGCCATAGAAATATGAAGGAGGTCTGAGGTATTCGAGAACTAGCTGGAAAAGACTTTGAGCCTACTAGATGGCTAAAAATAGCAATTTTCACCATAAAATGACAACCATAAACATAATGACTACAAAAGAACACATTTAAAAGGAATACTTCTTTTAAATGGTATTGCTTCCCTGGTTATTTGTTGGTAAACTCACTTGACCCATAAAAAGCTGAAGTCTTTTGCTAAGTTGTACAGTTAGTAAATGTTTCCAGCTACTTAATGCCTGGGTTAAACGGTAAACTAAGAGCAAAACATTATTCATTGACTTTTTAAGGAAAAACATAATGAATCATGTGGATTCAGATAAGTGTGTTGTTAAAGGCATAGTGACAACAATGTGTCCCCAATTAACTGGGTGGTAAACTGCTCTTTTCCCACTTACTCATTCCAATAAAGACTGACTCATGCTTCTTTAGACAAAGTTTTAAAAATTCCTATTTAGGATAGCACTTGCACTGAGTGTGAAGTTGGATTGGAAGAAAGCACAGGGTAATGACAAATGTGGCTGGCTCCTTGCACCTGTGTAAACAAGCACTGACCTCCACAGGTCAGCATCACCGACCTTCCAGCAAGGCTTTGCTCTGATACAGCCTTTCCCTGTATTCATAAGGAGAAAAAAAATCCAGATTTAGGATGAAGTCCTGTGTGTGCGCACACACACACATAAAAAAGATTGGGAGAAGAAGGAGGATTTGTTGGGGGGTTATGGGAGCAACCACAGAACAGGGAGAAATCCCTTAGGCCAGGGGAAGAAATTAACATGGTGGTTTTGAGAATGTGGTTCTCAGAACACACTGCCCCAGGACCACAGGACTGCAGCCTCACATCACTTGGTCACTTTGTTACAAATGCAAGTTCTTCGGTGCCAGATTGGAAACACTGGAGTGGATCCAGCCAATAGCATTTGATCAGACCCTCCAGGTGATTTTGGTACAGCTGAGATTTAGAACTACTGGCTTAAAGGACAGTGAAGGTCTGCTTGGTGACCAGAAGAGGGCTACTCCAGAAAGAATTTTAGCTAATCACCAACTTGTGCCTCTGTTTCTGAGATATTATGGTTCTCCAGGACCAGAGCTGCATAGGCACCATTCCTGGTTCTTATGTGGGTGAGAACTTCTAACTGTATTTGACTGAGTTATAACTACTTTTTCCATCAAGTGTTTGCTTCAAAGGAATCCTGGGTATAAATTGTTTCTTACTGCTTTTTTCTCCATAAGAAATTAGAGTTTAGGTAGATCTGTCTAAACTGGTTTCCAACTTAAAATGTGCTTTATCTTTTTGAAAAACACTTTTTCGTCTAAAATTTTTTAACTTATTTTATTTTGATTTTCTTAATTTTGTTGAGAGAAATGAACTTAGTTTTCCTATCACAAAGCTTTAGTGATAGGAAACCTATGGTGTGCTAAGGACTTTTAGTTTTGGACATGGTATTTGCTAAAATCAACCACAGAATTTTAAAGATCTGCCAGGAAACTTGAGGTTTCAGCACGAATTGCATATTGCATAATTCAGCTTTTCGTCCGATCTTTCCATGTAGTTTCAACTGTCAGAGGAAAAAACTGCTATTGCACCATTTGATGTTTTGAAGTATGGCACCTTATGAGATAATTTTTGCATTTGTTTATTCATTATGCTTGGAAAATATGCTGGTCCCCGTCCTTTTCTTTCCTTCTTTTTCTTTCTTCATTTAATTTGTTCTTTATACCAGAAAAGTTTTTTGGTTTCTTTTAAAAATGAAATAAACTTCTCTGAAATAAAATGCCAAGACTTTGGAGGAGTAATATGACAAAACAGAAGAGTCAAAGTTCAAGGACTTGTATTAACACAAAAAGAACAAGAAGTAGGGATGGAAGTAGCATGCTGGAAATTTGAACTGGAAGGTGGGATGTTTCAGAATATTCTGTTAGGAACCTTGAGTCCAAGAAGGGGTTTACAGTATCCTGAGTTATAGCTCTATGGGGTGGCAGTAATGTATATGAGTAATTATTTCTGAGTAAATCACTCACCAGCTGTTTGACCTTGTAGGTTACTTACGTCTCATTGCTGCTATTCATTTTTGTACTCTGTAAAATCTGACTTAAAATGGCTTTTTAGCAGTATACAAAATTAATATACAGAAATTTGTTGCATTCCTGTACACTAATACTGAACAACCAGAAAGAGAAATTAAGAAAATAATCCCATTTTTTGCATTAAAAAGAATAAAATACCTCAGCTAAGTTTCAGCGATGGGGTACCTAATCTAGTACATTTTGATACTTTTAGTTGTAATTCACCTGTGTTCATAGTTACATGGTTCCGCATTGTATTAAAACACAATTTATTTATCTATTCATATGACAAAGGATATTTTGGTTGAGTTCACTTTTTTATTAATATTATATAATGAACATTTATGTACGTCTCTTCTGATGAACATATGCACGGTTTTGCTGGAACAAATAACTGGGATGGGACTTGCTGGGTATTAGGTTGTAATTATCTTTCCTAGATGATGCCAGATTGATTTCCAGGTGGTTGTACCTGCTGATGCTTCTGCTAGGAGTGCATAGGATTGCCCTCCCCAAACGTCTTTGCCAGTAATTGGTGCTGCTAGTTTTTAAAATTTTGCACATTTGATGGGTAGTAATTGTATCTCATGGTTTCATTTAGCATTTCTCTTATAACCAATAAATAGAACATATTTTAATATATTAGAGGTCATTTGTATTTATTATTTTTTGTGAGAAATACTCATGCATATCTTTTCCCCCAAATTTTCTATAATGTTTTTATTTTGCTTAGTAATGTGTAGAAATCTTTTATATATTTTGGAATTCACTGCTTTTTTCTTTTTTACTCGTATGTAATAGATATGTCTTCCCCCAGTGTTTGCCTTGTGGGGTGGGTCTGCTTCTAGGGGTACTCTGTGTCCTTAGTCTACTTCTGTTCCAAGTTCACGTCGTCTTCCTCAGCACTTATTTATAATAAATATCAGTGTCTGCTGACACAGATTACTTTCATGACCTTTTACTGGGTTATCTTGAATATTAACCTTTTGTTTTCCTTTTCTTTTTTTGTGATTATTTTTAAATTTTTTACTTTTATTACATGTATTGAGTAATAAGATCATATAGGTTTCAAGCGTACATTTGTATGATATGCTGGTGTCATCTATGTATTGTATTGTGTTGCCACCGTCCAGAATCAAATCATCTTCCATCACCATATATTTGGTCCCCTTTACCCTCTACCACTCCCCCACCCCTTCTCTCTAATAACCACCACACTGTTGTCCGTGTCTGTGAGTTCGTTTTATATCCCACATCTGAGCGAAATTACATGGTTCTCAGCTTTTTCTGACTGACTTATTCCACTTAGCATAATATTCTCAAAGTATAATATATATGTTTTAAAATAGCTTAAGGACTTATAAACACAGATATATATGTCATATGTTATATATACATAACGTGATTTTTCTTTGAAGTGAATTGAATGTATAGAAGGATTTGGGAAAGAAATCCAGTTTTGTGATTTTAGTCTTCTAGTCACCAAACAGGCAATGCCTATTTATTGAAGTTTCAACTTAATATTCTTTTTATTATACTTGAGATTCTCATTATTACTTTTTTGTAGAATTAAAAATGCATTTCTAGGGTTTTTTTTCAAGGCATATTTATTTATTTATTTTAATATATTTTATTGATTATGCTATTACAGTTGTCCCATTTCCCCCTCTTCTTAGGTTTTCTTGTTTATATTAATCCAGGCTCTGAAATTTTTTTTCCAATGGAGTGCTAACACACATCTAGCCCAGCATCCTACCAGAAGGCAAGGATTTGTGAAGAATATGTTTATATGCATTTTTCTATTTAAATGGGAGTGATTACCTTGAATTTGGTTTCTCTGCCAACCTAAATATGCTTACATACATGTAGTTGTATTTTTCACTTTGTAGGTGGAAAATGTTAACCAGTGAAAGAGCCCATTTTTGGTCAGGAGGTGCTCCACGAAGTAGGTCTGCAGGAAATTTGATTGACATGGAAGCCCCAAAACCCTCCAAAAAGTGCAATATCACAGGTATGGGAAGGTAAAACTGTTGTAACTTCTTTCATCCATCACCAGCAACTATTGAAGGTCTAACTCTGAAAAGTCTTACAAAAGATTAAAAGAATTATAAAATCCCAATATTATCATGGACACACATACACTATCATTAAAAAGAGGAATAAAATAGCAGATGCAACAGATTATAATACTAAAAGAAGGCAAAAACTCATTAAATGAGTGGTATATGCAGTACATATATAATGAATTCCAGGGTTAAAGACATCTCTAGAGGTTGGAGTGGGCTACGAAATCTGTATGGAGCATAAAAGAATTAAATTGAATCTTAGAGGAAAAGTCGTTTTGAGAGTTAGATGGAAGTTGTTTGATGAAAGTCTGGAACTGGGAGAAACACAACTTTTCCAAAATGCATCTTCTATTTTTAATATCTGCCACTGAAAATGTACTTCAGTCAAGATAATAGTTCTGTACACATCAAACAAAAAAAATTCCGACAGTTTACTCAAATTCATCTTTCTCTTTTGGCTGGCCTCTTGGCTTTCATTTTTCTCTGAAACAGAACCAGCTTCATGAAGTCCACAGAGTCATGACCAATATTATTGAGAAATGACCAAGTATGAGTAGCTCTGAATGCAAAAAAAGACTTCAGTACTTTGACATATGCAAAATTCCTTAGAGCTGATATGTTAATATTTTAATGCGTTGCTGATTCTTAAATTTTTCATATTTCAAAGTAATAACATGTTTTCATTTCATAGTGGAAAACCTGTTTTTTTTTGTCATTTTGAACTGAAAAAGCCCAATGAATTCTTGCAAGTAGTAAATCTGATGTTTATTGTATATGAAAAAATTATAATGTTAAAATTTATCAATACAAAGTCATCAGGAAATAATCTGAAAAATGCATTGTCCATTTGGCCTATTGCATTTATTAATTAATTTATTTTTATTTTTTTATTTTAGAAAGAGTGGAAGGGAGGGAGAAAGAGGGAAACAAACATCGATGTGATGAGATACATTGATTGCCTGCCTTCCATGTGCACCCCAACTGGGGACCGAACCTGTAATTCAGGCATCTGCCCTGATCAGGAATCGAACTGCCGACCTTTTAGTTTGTGGAACAATGCTCCGACCAACTGAGCCACACCAGCTAGGTGGCCTGTTTTTTTTTTAAAACAATTATTTTGCCTACTAACAGATGTATTTGACATTTTTTACATATTATATATTATTATAAAATAAAAAATAGATAAATAATATAGATATATTGAGACTAACTATTCAATGTTTAGAAAAAATCTGGATAATTGGCTAAATTAGTCTATTTGTTCAGAGATTTTCTTTTGTGAAAATAAAACACAAAACTATAAGGTATAAGTTTATATAGTGTGGGTCATTTTGAAGGAAATGTTGACTATTATCTAAATTATTAACCATTCATTTATTTTTAAATTATTGTCTTATCATATATGGTCACAGTAAACTGGTAGAATAAGTTCTTTTTCTCACAGCATGAAAATATGACCAAATTTAATATTAATTTTGGAGCACCTATTAGCCTGGAGATCAAAAAGCAAAATAAAAAGTCTTGAATTTTTAAGCTATAATGAAAGCTATAGTGAATCTATAGTGAAGCTATAGTGAATCTTGGTTGTATCATAGAATGACACTCACCTTTGTTTTGCTTTGTTTTTGTTTAAATAACAAGAATGTCCAGACCCAAGCTTGCTTCTCAGCTGGCCAGATGCTTTCACACTGCATGGCAATAATGTTTCCAAAGCTACAAATCCATTCTGGAATGAACTGTCTGCTTCTAACCCATTTTTGGATGATATAACTCAGCTAAGAAATAACCAGAAGAAAGGTAATATTTCCATCTTGAAGGAAGATCCTTTTCTTTTTTTTAGAGAAATAGAACCTGGAAATTCTGTAGATTCCTCTGGAGATGAACTTACTGTGCACCAATTGCTTAGGCAGTCTTCCTCGAGGAAATCAGCAAGATCTAAAAGTGTTTCAGAACTTTTGGACATTTTAGATGACACAGTGCACGCCCGTCAGAATATACAGAACTCTGACCAGATCCTAGAACAAGATTTGGAATGGCTTCAGAATGATCGAGAGGCTTATAAAATGGCTTGGTTAAGTCAACGCCAGCTGGCCCGCTCCTGCCTGGATTTGAACACAATCAGTCAGAGCCCGGGATGGGCACAAACGCAAGTTGCAGAGACTGTCGTCGTTTGTCAATTAAACCACCAAGGAGGGTCAGTACAGTTACCTGAATCAGATATCACTGTTCACGTGCCCCACGGTCATGTAGCTGTGGGAGAATTCCAGGAAGTATCCCTAAGGGTTTTTCTTGATCCTCCACAAATGCTTAACCATGATCATTTATGCACTGTAAGCCCACTGTTGGAAATCATGTTAGGCAACCTTAACACAATGGAAGCCATTTTGCTGGAGATGAAAATCGGCGCTGAAGTGAGAAAGGATCCTTTCAGCCAAGTCATGACAGAAATGGTGTGTTTACACAGCCTGAGTAAAGAAGGCCCTTTCAAAGTGCTGAACAGCTGCTACATTTATAAAGACACCATCCAAGTCAAGCTAATAGATTTGAGTCAGGTGATGTATCTAGTGGTTGCTGCGCAAGCTAAAGCTACTCAGTCACCAGCTGTCACTATTTGGGATTATATCCACAAAACCACCTCGGTTGGAATTTATGGGCCCAAACATATCCATCCCCGTTTCACTACTGTTTTCACAGTTTGCGGACACAGTTATTTGCCAGGAAAGCTGACAATCTCTGATATTAGGAAGGGTAGAAAAAACACATCTCCAGTTGTGTTTCAGCTCTGGGGGAAGCATTCATTCTTACTCGACAAGCCACAAGATTTAAATATTTCTGTTTTTTCGTGTGATCCTGATTTTGAAGTACAGGCAGGAGGAGAAAAAGGAATTAAACAAAAGCAGTTGCAAGCAAGTCAAGTAGTTCATCACCAATTTTTATTTTCTTTGGTTGGCTCCAGAGAAATGCACGTGTTTGTTTTCCGTGTTCAGCTGGAGCCTGCCGGTGGCAGGCCGGTTGCACAGTTCTGTATCACTACGCCTGACCCAGCTCCAAACCTAAAGAGACGCTCAAATCTGCCAGGTGGTTTGCAGAAGGGGAAGGAAATCAAGTCTGCTCCTTCATTACCAACAGTGCATGTTAAATATCCCACCTTTCAAGACAAAAAGTTGAACTTTACCAATTATGGAGTAACTCTGAAGACGGTGCTAAGAAAAAAGAAGATTGACTACTTACTTGAATATTTCAAAGGAGACACAATAGCTCTCCTTGGAGAAGGTAAGGTCAAAGCCATTGGACAGTCCAAAGTGAAAGAATGGTATGTGGCAGTCTTGAGAGGTAAGATTGGACTTGTACATTGCAGAAATGTCAAGGTGATTGCAAAGGAACAAGTAATGCCAGTGACAGATAGTGTCTTCACTACAAGGAGCCTCCTTGAACAAATTGTCCTGCCCTTTAAGAAACTGACTTATATCTACTCAGTTGTATTGACCTTGGTGTCAGAAAAAGTTAATGATTGGAAAGCTTTAGCTGATGTCCTGGGTTACTCACATACGGCACTGGAAGATTTTGATCGAACACAAGCAGACAAAGAATCAGAAAAAGTTTCTTACCTTTTAAAGAAGTTAAAGGAAGATTGCCATGCAGACAGGAATGCCAGAAGGTTTCTTTATGAGCTTGTCGTGGTGAGTATTGCTTGATCACAGTAATTTATTTACTACAGAACATGTTATTAACTTGGTAATATTTATAACCAAACACATGAGAGAAGAAGCTAAAACATTCTCAGCAGTCTTGAATTAAGTGGAAGTCACTTTACAGCAAACATGTAGCTTTTCCTACGAGGTCATATAAATGGTTTCTTAGATTCAGTTGCGGTTTTCCCAGAAACTAGGCCCATAAGGATCATCTTTTGAAGGAAGATTAAAGTTTCTGTTTGTGCTAGAGTATAACAGTTAAGAGATTCTCCTCCTCTCTCAAATATTTAGATAGCTCTTAAAATATCAGACAAACTCCAGTAACCTGAATAAGAGAAAACTGAAATAGAACTAATTAACTTGGCCTTTGCAATAGGTCCACATTTTTGTGTTTTTTAAAAACATACAATCACTGTCTTTTACTTTAGAAATTTATTCTTCTTCTGTATGTAATTCATCAAAACCTTAAAATAATATTATTTAATCTTTTCTTAATCCTCATGTTTTAACAGTACTCCAAGGATCATTTTTTTAAAGATAACATTCACCCCAGTGTAAGACTCCATGGAGAATTATTAAAAAGATGAAGAACAATTTTGCTTTTAAAGTGGAAATTCAGTATTTTATAAAAGTAAAAAATTCAAGAGCATATTTTTAAAATTTTCTAAAATTTATAAGTAATAATGATAGGTAGCACTCCTCCGAAGTTCTTTATGTGTTTGGCACTGTGCTGAACACTCTACCCACACTGTCTAATTTAACCATTATAACAATGCCATGGGGGAAGTATAGCTGGTCTTCATCTTACAAATAGAGGAAACTGAGTCTTAGGAGGTTGGGTTCCACGGTTGTTAGTATTGGAGATGAGATTTGAAAGCTTTTGGTTCCAAAGTCAGGTTTAAAACCACTACACCTTTCTGAAACAAAGTTGTCTGTGTGTAGAAACGTTTAAGTGTGTGTGTTGGCATGTGTAGTAAATGACATTATAATTGTGCAAGGTTGGTGCCCTTAGGAGAGGCATGGTCCATGTAGATGAGGCAGGTTCATGTTAGAGGAGCAGAGTGTTTTTTTAAAAGATTCTATCTATTTATTTTTAGACAGAGGGGAAGGGAGGGAGAAAGAGAGGGAGAGAGACATCCATATGTGGTTGCCTCTCAACATGCCCCCTGCTGGGGATCTGGCCAGCAACCCAGGCTTGTGCCCTGACTGGGAATCAAACCTGCGACCCTTTGGTTCACAGGCCGACACTCAATCCGCTGAGCTACACCAGCCAAAGTAATAGGAGCAGAGTGTTAATCAAAGTGCAAAATGTGGAGATAAATTTATTCAATGACATTAACAATAATTTATATAATAAATAAATATATATAAAATATTTCTTCTCCTTCAATTATTTTTATGGTTCTATAGTGATACTGAGAGAAAGCCTATATATTAGGCACAATTCCATTGGTGAAGAAGAGAGAGTTAATTTTTCAAAACTCATAATTATCAATAGCATTGTTTAAAGTTGTAGGACTGTCTCATTGTCATGCAATGGCATGATTCTGGAAAGTTTTAATCACATTTTGATGAAAAGTAGTACAGTGTTTACCATGTTTACCAACACTAGTATGCTCACTCCTTAGAGAAATCCTGTAGCCAATCACCTGGTAAGGAAAGGAATTAGTTTTTGAAGAGTAAATGATCATCCTGGGTTGATAAATTATAGGCTGCTAGAACTTTAGGGTGTCTTTAGAAGTGTCTAGTTCAACATCCTCTTTTGCAATTAAAGATATTAAGAAACAGATGAGTGGTTAACCCAAGGCCCTATAATTAGCCATGGAGTTAGTCTTCCATCTCCTCTAATTTTGGCCCAGTTGTGCCTGCTGTACTTTGCTAACTGGATGTGCTTGAGAGTAAATCAACTTTTTCCATTTTAAGAAATTCATATATATATGTGTGGTGAGAAATGGGATGCCAGCTTCTAAAATATGTAATGAAAAATTAAATTTCTAGGAAAAAAACCAAATTACTGGCTTTTGATTATGACATGTAATTATTGCTGCAGGCTCTGCTCAAGATGGATCGCCAAGGGTTGGTGGCTCACATCATCCAAGAGGCCACTATCCTGACTTCAGCTGTCAAGCTGGGCAAGGGCTGGAGGGAACTAGCTCCAAAATTAGCACGACTCACAAAGAAACAAATGGAAGCATATGAAGTTCCTCACCGAGGAAAAGCTGGGCATGTCGCTGTTGAGGTAATATTTCTGTTTGTCTAATTCAACAGTGAAAAAATGCAGACCAAGTAAATCAAATGTAATCAAGCCTGAAGCACTTACATGGGTTAATTTAGGGCGTGTTCTCAAAGACCCACTAACTAAAGTCATTGCCTCTATAATCATCAATGGTATCTGAAATATACACATACCACTTTTTAAAGGCCTTTGAAATATGTATCAAGACTCTTTAAAATATATTGATGTTTCTCCTATTGGATTGCATGTTAATATGGCCTTTGATCAAATAAATTGATCAAACTGGATAGCTAACCAGTTAGTAGGCAGGGCTAGAAAATCTTGAGGCAGATAACACATAAATGTGATGGGACCCAGTCAGGGCATGGGGAAATTTTAAACATAATAATAATATTTACCAGTCTGAGGCATAGACTTAGTCATTTGTGATAAATAATATTTGGTGATAATAGCATTAAGAGTGTGGATGGTAATGAGAAAAGATTTCTAAGAACTTCACTGTTTCTTTGACAAGTCTGTGTGCAATAAGAATTGTAGGCATCAAATACAGAGTGGCGGCACATACAGCAAAGTAAATATTCACATTGCAAATATTAAATTAAATTAAATTTAATTTTTATTAATATTAAAACAAATGTATACTGTTAGGTATAAGTTAGATACATATTTTCTCTATTCACCATAAAATGTGAGTCAATTTTTATGACTTAAATTAAAACATTCCAGTGATGAGCACATATAAAATGTTCTGTATCTTTCTCTCGCATGAGTGTAAGCATTTTTGAGTCATTGCAGTTAAGGAGAGATGATCTCTCTGATTAGGTGGTGACTTGGTAGGAGGCAGAAGCTATGTCATCCACTTCCTTTGGGGGCATAGAGCTGCAGAAAATTTTCTTTTTTTTTTCCTTTTTTACTGTTACTTCTTTTTTTAAATTGTTATTCAACTACACTTGTCCCCATTTCCCCCCACCACTCTCCCCCGCTCTACCCACCCCCACTTCCCACACTCAATCCTATGCTCCACTGGCTTTGTCCATGGGTCCTTTATACATGTTTCTTGACAACCCTTCCCCTTCTTTCCCTCTTACCCCCACTCCCCACTCTGGTTACTGTCAGATTGTTCTTTATTTCAATGTCTCTGGTTATATTTTGCTTGTTTGTTTTGTTGATTAGGTTCCACTTATAGGTGAGATCATATGGTATTTGTCTTTCACCACCTGGCTTATTTCACTTAGCATAATGCTCTCCAGTTTCATCCATGCTGTTGCAAAGGGTAGGAGCTCCTTCTTTCTTTCTGCTGTGTAGTATTCCTTTGTGTAAATGTACCACCATTTTTTGATCCACTCACTTACTGATGGGCACTTATGCTGCTTCCAGCACTTGGCCACCATTATAAATTGTTAAGCTATGAACATTGGGGTGCATATGTTCTTTTGAATTGGTTTTTCAGGATTCTTAGGGTATACTCCAAGTAGTGGAATTGCCGGGTCAAAAGGCAGCTTCATTTTTATTTTTTTTTTTGAGGAAATTCCATACTGTTTTCCACAGTGGCTGCACCAGTCTGCATTCTCACCAGCAATGTACTAGGGTTCTGTTTTCTCCACATCCTCTCCAACACTTATTTGGTAATTTGTTAATGATGGCCATTCTGACTGGTGTGAAGTGGTGTCATTTTGGTTTTAACTTTCATCTCTCTGATGGCTAGTGATGCTGAACATCCTTTTATATGTCTCTGGACCCCGTGTATGTCCTACCTGGAGAAGTGTCTGTTCAGGTCCTTTGCCCATTTTCTAATTGGATTATTTGTCTTCCTGGTGTGGAGTCATGTGAGCTCTTTACATATTTTGGGGATCAAACCCTTGTCTGAGGTATCATTGGCAAATACATTTTCCTATATAATTGCTTACCTTTTCATTTTGCTGATGTTTTCGTTAGCCATGAAGAAGGTTTTCTTCCTATGCCAGTTGGGTGTGCAGGACAAAAGAAATTTTCATGAAAGGACAAGAGTCAAACCAAGTCCGTTGAATCCCAGCAGGTGCAGTAGAAGTCACAGCAGACCCACTTCTGGGTACCTAGAGCCTCGCTCTCCAGCAAGACTACTTCACACAGACTTTTCAGCCAAGAGCAGCCAGAGGCTGAGGACAGGTTTTCTCCCCATAGACTACATTTATCTCCGTACCCTAAGCAGTGCACCACCACCTACAAATCACTTTCTACCAAATGGGCTAAAGGATGAGAAATTTATAAGAAAGAAGACGGCAACAATACTATGGGGGATATGCTGCTCTGATATTTCAGTTAACAGATTAAAAAATTGTCTAACTGAGATACCACTACACACCTACTCAGACTGGCAAATCCAGAACACTGCTAACACCAAATGCTGGTGAGGATGTGGAGCAACAGGAATCCTCACTCATTGCCGGTGGGAATGCAAAATGGTACAGTCATTGGGAGGGGACTTCGGCTGTTTCCTACGAATGAAACATACTCCATACTTGGCATATACTCCATCAGTTGTGCTCCTTGGTATTTACCCAAAGGAACTGAAAACACATGTCTACACAAAAATGGCACGTGGATATTTATAGGAAGTTTATTTATAATGACCAAAACTTGGAGGCAACCAAGATGCCTTCAGTAGGTGAATGGATACATGAACTTATGTGCATCTAGACGATGGAATATTACTTAGTGCTAAAAAGAAACAAGTTATTAATTCATGAAGAGACATGGAGGAGCCTTAAATGCATATTGCTAAGCAAAATATGTCAGTCAGAAAAGGCTCCACACTGTGTGATTCCAAATATATGACATTCTAGAAAAGGTAAAACTATAAAGACAGTAAAAAAATCAGTGGTTCCCAGGGATTGGGAGGGAGGGATGAATAGGATGAACACAGAGGATTTTGGGGGGCAGTGATACCATGATGGATATATGTCACTATACATTGATCCAAACCCATAGAATATACAACACCAGAAGTAGACCATAATGTGATAGACTCTAGGCTTTGGGTGATTGTGCTGTATCAATGTAGATTCACCAGTTGTAACAAATAGAGCGCTCTGGTGGAGCGATTGATAATAGGGATGCTATGCATATGAGGGGGCAGGAGGTACACGGAAAATCTCTATACCTTCCTCTAAACTGTTCTGTGAACCTCAAATGTCTCTTTAAACAATCTTTTTAAATTTGTATAATTGAAAGCAGGGCTTTTTTTTCATAGTAAGTCTCTGTTTTCAAAAAGGCTTTGTTGAAAGTGATTTATCAAAGAATTATTTATTCTCTCAGCATTGTTAAGTATCTGACTTCTCTCTAATTATGGATGTTTACAGTTTGTCTTCTCCCAAATCTTGGTGGAGGCCAAGCAGCCTACTTTTCCATTATTTACTTTTGTACTGCCCAAATCACAAATGACTGTGCCAGAGGCTAATAAATACTCCGAAGCAGGAAAGGAAAGTCCCTAGGTGTCTTTCTAGGGGCTAATGTTTAACTTATTGTGATTCATGCTCACAGTCATCACTCCGATCCCTGTTGCTAAATTCTTAAAAATAATCCACGGTATTGGCCCAAGCCATCCCAGACAATGTGTGGGAACTGCTACCCGTTAGGCCACTTAAACTACAAAGTATCTTGATTTCCATCCCCCTGAAAAAAAAAGTAGCTGTATAATTTATTCTCTCAGGAAGGAGATGATTCTTAAATATGACCAATTTGCAAGTCAAGTAGTCGATTTCAAAACACACTGATACTGGTTCGGGGTAGGGGGTGCAGAGGAAGGGAACCGCGGTTGTGGCAGGAAGGTAACCAGGCCTGCTGCTCCCCAGGCTGCTTTTATTTCGTTATCTCACTGCCTCAGAGGGTCCACACTCCCAAAATGTCCTTCTCTGTCTGCCAGTGCCGACAGGCCCTTTCTCCCTCTTTCTTTTCAACCTCTCTCGTTCCCTTTGTCCTATTTTTATTGTAGCTCACATTTGTCTGGCACTTACTCTGTGGCAGCACTGTTCTGGTAATGTTTCAAAAATTGACTTAATCCTTTCAACAAAAAAGCTTGTGGGTCAGGCACTAATATTATCTAAAATGGAGGGAGGCTACGCTACTTGCTTAAACACGTGTTGCCACAAACGCATGGAACCAGGTGAGGAGCGCAGGCTTTGCCTTTGGGGTCCTTGTGCTTTACACTGTGCCCACCCACCCCAAGTCCAATGTGGTGGCTCAGGGGCAGAGCTGGTAGATGTGGTTAGGGTGGGGGTTTAAGCATCGCATCTTCCATTTCTCCCCCTTTTTAAAGTGATGATACTACTAAAATTGGCCTCAACATCTTCATTAAGGCTCAAGCCAATTAAATAATGGAGATTATTAATAGTATGTCTGTCAGATTTTTGTTGAGTACTTTGGCCATTTCTTATTCTTTTATAAGATGAATAAAAGCCTCTGTCTGGAGACTTCTGAGAACATTACTTTTTAAATTAACCATCTCCCTAAATTAAATTTTAAGAAATGTTACTCAATTTTTCTAATGACATTGCAATTCCTACATAAAAACAAAACTATAAAACTTGAAATATGATTCTGTCCTTCTGTTTCGCAGAGTATTTCTTTAAAAAAAAACAGTTATGCTATACAGATGTTTAATTGTTGTCAGGGTCTTCCTGTGAAAGTTAGTAAAAATTGGACTTTTTCTGAGGATATTTATATCTTTAAATAAAATAGGAATCAATAAAATATTAGAAAATAGCCCATTTTTTATGGCAGTTGGGCTTCGCAAGGGGCTATGCTGGGGGTTTTGGGGATAAGAGACACAGACCTAAATTAGGAACTCTTCACTTAGCCCTCTGGGGATGATGACCATAGATGGCAATAAATTCCCTAGCAACTGTCTCCCATTGGCCCCCTACCTAACAATAAAGATCATGATCTTTCCATCTTATTCAGTATGGACACATTCACCAAGGACACTCATGGTTCACTTACCCCTTTAAGATACCTTTTACCAAAGC